CACATACGCGCGCGCACACACACGCACACACGCACGCACGCACGCGCGCGCACGCGCACGCGCACACGCAGAGACAGCCTTGTATCAAATTGTTCCATTCATAGATACCTTTATGATAGTTATGTGTTGCACATTGTGTACAATGGTGTGAGGATTTGGTGCACACGCCACTTCCATTTCAAGTTTTTCGTATCACTTTCATTCCATGCTACATTCCATGCTACACTCCCTGTGTGCTGAGAAGTGGCCAAGGTGGAGAAAGATCAAAATGACAAGCATAGCTCGTCACAAGCACCAAATTGCCTCATGCATGGCTAAACGTCGCGTTCAGCAGGATTCGAACCTGCGCGGGCAGAGCCCAACAGATTTCGAGTCTGTCCCGTTAACCACTCCGGCATGAACGCTTGAAACCAAGGTTAATCTTACGGCAAACAGAGTCAACTTCGAGAATGTTCTCCCACGGCTATCGAAGGGACTCACCGCACTATTGTCGAGAATATTCTACATACCACGAGACTAATTCCCCTCCCATAAATTCCGCCTGTTCACGCGTCTCCCATTCCCTTCTGCCAAAAGCCAGATCCTACCCCTTCGAGTGCTGCTGGATCCTACCCCTTCGTGTGCTGCTGTCAGATATCACAAGTGTTGTCGTATCTTGATATCGTTTCCTCGTTTATCTTCCACTCTTTTGGCCAATTCGTGTTTCTTAAAGCACCAATTAGCGTGCTCGCGCTCGCGCTCGTGCTCCTGCGGGTCCACCAGCGTCACGCGCGCTTCCTCTCCGCGTCGCGGATTCGCTGTCTGCAATCGAGCCTTCCTACGCCCGACACTCTCGAATCGCGTATCGGGACGTGAACGATTCGTTCGCGTAGCGTTAAAAGCGGTGCGCACTTTCGCGGATTCGAGAGCGTCACTATCGTTCGGGAAGAATTCGGGCAGCATTCGGGCATCATGTCGACTAACCTGGGGCCAGGCGGCAATCTCGAGGGAATTCTCAAGTGGAGCCTCGCCCATTCCGATGGCACGGGCCCCGCGCGGCAGATCACGTGAGTGCAGTGAGATCAGAATTGGGGGGGGGGGGAGGAGTTGAGTCATTCGCTCGGTTTTTTCTGTTTCCACTTGCCTTTCTTTGGACGGAGGAGGAGCGGCAGCGGTTCAACCGGGCGATGCAGGCGGCGGTGGTGGACTAAGTGCAGCGGATGAAGGATAGCAGCATGGTGATGGCCGTCACTGAGGAAGGGGGGTGACTCATTCTTTCCTCTCTTTCTCTGCTCCTTCACTTTCCCTTGCTCTGTCTGCCTTGCAGCGAGGAGGAGAGGCAGTGGTTCAACCAATCGATGCAGGCGGCGGTGGTGGACTAAGTGCAGCGGATGAAGGATAGCAGCATGGTGATGGCCGTCACTGAGGAGAGCGTGCTGGCTTCTCATGCTCTTTCCTTGTCCGTCCTTCCTCCCTCCCTTCCTCGCATCCTTCCCTCCAGAGAAGAGGAGAGGCAGTGGTTCAACCAGGCCATGCAGCGGCGGTGGTGGACATAGTGCAGCGGATGAAGGAGATCAGCATGGTCATGGCCGTCACTGAGGAGGGGCTGCTGGCGCAGGGCGTGACTGTTGACGAAATGGCCGGCATGCTGGAAGAATTGCAGGAGCATGTGGAGTCGATTGACATGGCCAATGGTAAGAGTGTGTGTGTATCACCTGTGAGGGAGTGGGGGGTCAAGTGTAAATGTTTGATCACCTTGGTTCTGACCGTCACTAAGGAGGGCCTGCTGGCCCGGGGAGTGACGGTGGAGGAGACGGCCGGCATGCTGGAAGAGCTGCAGGAGCACGTGGAGTCGATTGACATGGCCAATGGTATGAGTGTGTGTGTATCACCTGTGAGGGGGTGGGGCTGAGTGTAAATGTTTGATCACCTTGCTGCTGGCGGCCTCTGAGGAGGGGCTGCTGGCTCAGGGCGTGACCGTTGAAGAAATGGCCGGCATGCTGGAAGAACTGCAGGAGCACGTCGAATCCATCGACATGGCCAATGTTGCGAGTGTGCACGTCTGGTCATGTTTTTGAGTCGACTCAAATAAAGCATGTTGAATCGATTGACATGGCCAATGGTACGAGTGTGCACTTGTGGTCATATGTTTGAGTGTGTGGCCCTTCTATGAGGTGAGGAGGGGAGGCCGCCAGCAGCCCCTCCTCACCTTCCCTCCCCGTTTTCATGATTCATCTCTTCCCTCCCCGTTTCATGATTCATCTCCTCCCTCCTCGTTTCATGATTCATCTCCTCCCCTCCCCTTTCATGATTCATCTCCTCCCTCCCCTCGTTTCATGATTCATCTCCTCCCTCCCCGTTTCATGATTCATCTCTTCCCTCCCCGTTTCATGATTCATCTCTCCTCCCTCCCCGTTTCATGATTCATCTCCTCCCTCCCCGTTTCATGATTCATCTCCTCCTCCTCCCCGTTTCGTGATTCATCTCCTCCCTCCCCGTTTCATATGATTCATTTCCTCCCTCCCCGTTCATGATTCATCTCCTCCTCCCTCCCCGTTTCATGATTCATCTCCTCCCTCCCCGTTTCATGATCCATCTCCTCCCTCCCCGTTTCATGATTCATCTCCTCCTCCCCTCCCCGTTTCATGATTCATCTCTTCCCTCCCCGTTTCATGATTCATCTCCTCCCTCCCCGTTTCATGATTCATCTCTTCCCTCCCCGTTTCATGATTCATCTCCTCCCTCCCCGTTTCATGATTCATCTCCTCCCTCCCCGTTTCATGATTCATCTCCTCCCTCCCCGTTTCATGATTCATTTCCTCCCTCCCCGTTTCATGATTCATCTCCTCCCCTCCCCGTTTCATGATTCATCTCCTCCCTCCCCGTTTCATGATCCATCTCCTCCCTCCCGTTTCATGATTCATCTCCTCCCTCCCCGTTTCACGATTCATCTCCTCCCTCCCCTTTTCATATGATTCATCTCCCTCCCCCCGTTTCATGATTCATCTCCTCCCTCCCCGTTTCATGATTCATCTCCTCCCTCCCCGTTTCATGATTTTTCTCCTCCCTCCCCGTTTCATGATTCATCTCCTCCCTCCCCGTTTCATGATTCATCTCCTCCCTCCCCGTTTCATGATTCATCTCCTCCCTCCCCGTTTCATGATTCATCTCCTCCCTCCCGTTTCATGATTCATCTCCTCCCTCCCCGTTTCATGATTCATCTCCTCCCTCCCCGTTTCATGATTCATCTCCTCCCTCCCCGTTTCATGATTCATCTCCTCCCTCCCCGTTTCATGATTCATCTCCTCCCTCCCCGTTTCATGATTCATCTCCTCCCTCCCCGTTTCATGATTCATCTCCTCCCTCCCCGTTTCATGATTCATCTCCTCCCTCCCCGTTTCATGATTCATCTCCTCCCTCCCCGTTTCATGATTCATCTCCTCCCTCCCCGTTTCATGATTCATCTCCTCCCTCCCCGTTTCATGATTCATCTCTTCCCTCCCCGTTTCATGATTCATCTCCTCCCTCCCCCCCGTTTCATGATTCATCTCCTCCCTCCCCGTTTCATGATTCATCTCTCCTCCCTCCCCGTTTCATGATTCATCTCCTCCCTCCCCGTTTCATGATTCATCTCCTCCTCCTCCCCGTTTCATGATTCATCTCCTCCCTCCCCGTTTCATGATTCATCTCTTCCCTCCCCGTTTCATGATTCATCTCCTCCCTCCCCGTTTCATGATTCATCTCCTCCCTCCCCGTTTCATGATTCATCTCCTCCCTCCCCGTTTCATGATTCATCTCCTCCCTCCCCGTTTCATGATTCATCTCCTCCCTCCCCGTTTCATGATTCATCTCCTCCCTCCCCGTTTCATGATTCATCTCCTCCCTCCCCGTTTCATGATTCATCTCTTCCCTCCCCGTTTCATGATTCATCTCCTCCCTCCCCGTTCATGATTCATCTCCTCCCTCCCCGTTTCATGATTCATCTCCTCCCTCCCGTTTCATGATTCATCTCCTCCCTCCCCGTTTCATGATTCATCTCCTCCCTCCCCGTTTCATGATTCATCTCCTCCCTCCCCGTTTCATGATTCATCTCCTCCCTCCCCGTTTCATGATTCATCTCTTCCCTCCCCGTTTCATGATTCATCTCCTCCCTCCCCGTTTCATGATTCATCTCCTCCCTCCCCTTTTCATGATTCATCTCCTCCCTCCCCGTTTCATGATTCATCTCCTCCCTCCCCGTTTTCATGATTCATCTCCTCCCTCCCCGTTTCATGATTCATCTCCTCCCCCCCGTTTCATGATTCATCTCCTCCCTCCCCGTTTCATGATTCATCTCCTCCCCCCCTCCCTCCCCGTTTCATGATTCATCTCCTCCCTCCCGTTTCATGATTCATCTCCTCCCTCCCCGTTTCATGATTCATCTCCTCCCTCCCCGTTTCATGATTCATCTCCTCCCTCCCCGTTTCATGATTCATCTCCTCCCTCCCCGTTTCATGATTCATCTCCTCCCCCTCCCCGTTTCATCATGATTCATCTCCTCCCTCCCCGTTTCATGATTCATCTCTTCCCTCCCCGTTTCATGATTCATCTCCTCCCTCCCCGTTTCATGATTCATCTCCTCCCTCCCCGTTTCATGATTCATCTCCTCCCTCCCCGTTTCATGATTCATCTCCTCCCTCCCGTTTCATGATTCATCTCCTCCCTCCCCGTTTCATGATTCATCTCCTCCCTCCCCGTTTCATGATTCATCTCCTCCCTCCCCGTTTCATGATTCATCTCCTCCTCCCTCTCCCTCTCCCCCGTTTCATGATTCATCTCTTCCCTCCCCGTTTCATGATTCATCTCCTCCCTCCCCGTTTCATGATTCATCTCCTCCCTCCCCGTTTCATGATTCATCTCCTCCCTCCCCGTTTCATGATTCATCTCCTCCCTCCCCGTTTCATGATTCATCTCCTCCCTCCCCGTTTCATGATTCATCTCCTCCCTCCCCGTTTCATGATTCATCTCTCCCTCCCCGTTTCATGATTCATCTCCTCCCTCCCCGTTTCATGATTCATCTCTCCCTCCCTTTCATGATTCATCTCCTCCCTCCCCGTTTCATGATTCATCTCCTCCCTCCCCGTTTCATGATTCATCTCCTCCCTCCCCGTTTCATGATTCATCTCTTCCCTCCCCGTTTCATGATTCATCTCCTCCCTCCCCGTTTCATGATTCATCTCCTCCCTCCCCGTTTCATGATTCATCTCCTCCCTCCCCCGTTTCATGATTCATCTCCTCCCTCCCCGTTTCATGATTCATCTCCTCCCTCCCCGTTTCATGATTCATCTCCTCCCTCCCCGTTTCATGATTCATCTCCTCCCTCCCCGTTTCATGATTCATCTCCTCCCTCCCCGTTTCATGATTCATCTCCTCCCTCCCCGTTTCATGATTCATCTCCTCCCTCCCCGTTTCATGATTCATCTCCTCCCTCCCCGTTTCATGATTCATCTCCTCCCTCCCCGTTTCATGATTCATCTCCTCCCTCCCCGTTTCATGATTCATCTCCTCCCTCCCCGTTTCATGATTCATCTCCTCCCTCCCCGTTTCATGATTCATCTCCTCCCTCCTCCCGTTTCATGATTCATCTCCTCCCTCCCCGTTTCATGATTCATCTCCTCCCTCCCCGTTTCATGATTCATCTCCTCCCTCCCCGTTTCATGATTCATCTCCTCCCTCCCCTTTCATGATTCATCTCCTCCCTCCCCGTTTCATGATTCATTCTTCCCTCCCCGTTTCATGATTCATCTCCTCCCTCCCCGTTTCATCATGATTCATCTCCTCCCTCCCCGTTTCATGATTCATCTCCTCCCTCCCCGTTTCATGATTCATCTCCTCCCTCCCCGTTTCATGATTCATCTCCTCCCTCCCCGTTTCATGATCATCTCCTCTCCTCCCTCCCCGTTTCATGATTCATCTCCTCCCTCCCCGTTTCATGATTCATCTCCTCCCTCCCCGTTTCATTTCATGATTCATCTTCCTCCCTCCCTCCCCGTTTCATGATTCATCTCCTCCCTCCCCGTTTCATGATTCATCTCCTCCCTCCCCGTTTCATGATTCATCTCCTCCCTCCCGTTTCATGATTCATCTCCTCCCTCCCCGTTTCATGATTCATCTCCTCCCCCCCGTTTCATGATTCATCTCCTCCCTCCCTTTCATGATTCATCTCTCTCCCCTCCCCGTTTCATGATTCATCTCCTCCCTCCCCGTTTCATGATTCATCTCCTCCCTCCCCGTTTCATGATTCATCTCCTCCCTCCCCGTTTCATGATTCATCTCCTCCCTCCCCGTTTCATGATTCATCTCCTCCCTCCCCGTTTCATGATTCATCTCCTCCCTCCCCGTTTCATGATTCATCTCCTCCCTCCCCGTTTCATGATCATCTCCTCCTCCCCTCCCCGTTTCATGATTCATCTTCCCTCCCCGTTTCATGATTCATCTCCTCCCTCCCCCGTTTCATGATTCATCTCCTCCCTCCCCGTTTCATGATTCATCTCCTCCCTCCCCGTTTCATGATTCATCTCCTCCCTCCCCGTTTCATGATTCATCTCCTCCCTCCCCGTTTCATGATTCATCTCCTCCCTCCCCGTTTCATGATTCATCTCCTCCCTCCCCGTTTCATGATTCATCTCCTCCCTCCCCGTTTCATGATTCATCTCTCCCTCCCCTCGTTTCATGATTCATCTCCTCCCTCCCCGTTTCATGATTCATCTCCTCCCTCCCCGTTTCATGATTCATCTCCTCCCTCCCCGTTTCATGATTCATCTCCTCCCTCCCCGTTCATGATTCATCTCCTCCCTCCCCGCCTTTTCATGATTCATCTCCTCCCTCCCCGTTTCATGATTCATCTCCTCCCTCCCCGTTTCATGATTCATCTCCTCCTCCCCGTTTCATGATTCATCTCCTCCTCCCCGTTTCATGATTTCATCTCCTCCCTCCCCGTTTCATGATTCATCTCCTCCCTCCCCCGTTTCATGATTCATCTCCTCCCTCCCCGTTTCATGATTCATCTCCTCCCTCCCCGTTTCATGATTCATCTCCTCCCTCCCCGTTTCATGATTCATCTCCTCCCTCCCCGTTTTCATCTTCATCCCTCCCTCCCCGTTTCATGATTCATCTCCTCCCTCCCCGTTTCATGATTCATCTCCTCCCTCCCCGTTTCATGATTCATCTCCTCCCTCCCCGTTTCATGATTCATCTCCTCCCTCCCCGTTTCATGATTCATCTCCTCCCTCCCCGTTTCATGATTCATCTCCTCCCTCCCCGTTTCATGATTCATCTCCTCCCTCCCCGTTTCATGATTCATCTCTCCCTCCCCGTTTCATGATTCATCTCCTCCCTCCCCGTTTCATGATTCATCTCCTCCCTCCCCGTTTCATGATTCATCTCCTCCCTCCCCGTTTCATGATTCATCTCCTCCCTCCCCGTTTCATGATTCATCTCCTCCCTCCCCGTTTCATGATTCATCTCCTCCCTCCCCGTTTCATGATTCATCTCCTCCCTCCCCGTTTCATGATTCATCTCCTCCCTCCCCGTTTCATGATTCATCTCCTCCCTCCCCGTTTCATGATTCATCTCCTCCCTCCCCGTTTCATGATTCATCTCCTCCCTCCCCGTTTCATGATTCATCTCCTCCCTCCCCGTTTCATGATTCATCTCCTCCCTCCCCGTTTCATGATTCATCTCCTCCCTCCCCGTTTCATGATTCATCTCCTCCCTCCCCGTTTCATGATTCATCTCCTCCCTCCCCGTTTCATGATTCATCTCCTCCCTCCCCGTTTCATGATTCATCTCTCCCTCCCCGTTTCATGATTCATCTCCTCCCTCCCCGTTTCATGATTCATCTCCTCCCTCCCCGTTTCATGATTCATCTCCTCCCTCCCCGTTTCATGATTCATCTCCTCCCTCCCCGTTTCATGATTCATCTCCTCCCTCCCCGTTTCATGATTCATCTCCTCCCTCCCCGTTTCATGATTCATCTCCTCCCTCCCCGTTTCATGATTCATCTCCTCCCTCCCCGTTTCATGATTCATCTCCTCCCTCCCCGTTTCATGATTCATCTCCTCCCTCCCCGTTTCATGATTCATCTCCTCCCTCCCCGTTTCATGATTCATCTCCTCCCTCCCCGTTTCATGATTCATCTCCTCCCTCCCCGTTTCATGATTCATCTCCTCCCTCCCCGTTTCATGATTCATCTCCTCCCTCCCCGTTTCATGATTCATCTCCTCCCTCCCCGTTTCATGATTCATCTCCTCCCTCCCCGTTTCATGATTCATCTCCTCCCTCCCCGTTTCATGATTCATCTCCTCCCTCCCCGTTTCATGATTCATCTCCTCCCTCCCCGTTTCATGATTCATCTCCTCCCTCCCGTTTCATGATTCATCTCCTCCCTCCCCGTTTCATGATTCATCTCCTCCCTCCCCGTTTCATGATTCATCTCCTCCCTCCCCGTTTCATGATTCATCTCCTCCCTCCCCGTTTCATGATTCATCTCCTCCCTCCCCGTTTCATGATTCATCTCCTCCCTCCCCGTTTCATGATTCATCTCCTCCCTCCCCGTTTCATGATTCATCTCCTCCCTCCCCGTTTCATGATTCATCTCCTCCCTCCCCGTTTCATGATTCATCTCCTCCCTCCCCGTTTCATGATTCATCTCCTCCCTCCCCGTTTCATGATTCATCTCCTCCCTCCCCGTTTCATGATTCATCTCCTCCCTCCCCGTTTCATGATTCATCTCCTCCCAACAGACCTGAAGGCCATAGGAGGCGTGGAGCCGCTGCTGCGCTTTCTCAAGTCCCCCATGCAATCCTCCACACGCGGGCAGCAGCCCTCTGAGTGTCTTGTCTTTCTCCCTCCTCTCCCCTTCCCCTTCCTTTTCTACCAGACCTGAAGGCCATAGGAGGCTTGGAGCCGCTGCTGCGTTTCCTCAAGTCCCCTCATGCAATCCTGCGGGCGCGGGCGGCGGAGGTGGTGACCACCATGGTGCAAAACAATGAAAAGAGCCAGCGCAGCGTGATGGAGGCGGGCGGCCATCTGACCCTCATGGATATGCTTCTAAACGATGCTGACGTCACTGCCAGGACCAAGGCCGTGGGGGCGATTTCATGTGAGTAATTTGGTGTGTGTTGAGGGGTGGGGGGTATTGGGGGGTTGGGGGTGGGGGAGTGAGGTAAAGCAAGCCATTTTAGGTGTCTCAAAATTTTTGAGGGGCCTCAAAATTCCTGTGAGTCGAAGGGTGTGTTGTGGAGGGGGGGGGGTGTTGGGGGGGTGGGGTGGGGGAGTGAGGTAGAGCAAGTTGTTCAAGCCTGCTTCTTCTTGTTTTTCTCCAATTTTTCTTCACAGCCTTAGATACCTTTATGCCTCCCTGTTTCCCCCACCCAATGCCTCCCTGTTTCCCCCACCCAATGCCTCCCTGTTTCCCCCACCCAATGCCTCCCTGTTTCCCCCACCCAATGCCTCCCTGTTTCCCCTAACGCCAGCCTGTTTCTCCCGACGCTCCCCCGTTTCCCCCCCACACCCCACGTTTCTCCCCGTTCCCCCCTCCACTCAGCCTTGGTGCGCCATAACCCAGAAGGCCTGGCGTCCCTTCGAGCCGTCGTCGGCATTAAGGGACTCACCTCCTTAATTTCCTCCGCCGCCCAACCCACCACCGACACCACCACCACCAGCAGTGCCACGAAGCTCCTACTTAAAGCCCTGCATCTCACGCTCTATTTCCTACAGCAGTTCCCCTCAGACCAGCCCCAGGCTCTCTCCTCGGGCCTGTTCGCCTCGCTGCTACAGCCGGGGGTGGTGGGGTCCCAGGATGGGGATGTGCGGTTGGCTGTGCTGCGACTGCTGCAGGATCTAGCTCCTGCCATGACTGTTGGTACTGCCGCTGCTGCTACTGCTGCTACTGCTGCCACAGCTGCTGGTGGTGATGGTGGTGATGATGCTGCTGCTCCCGGTGCTACTGATGATGTGGGGGGGAGCAGGCGCAAGGGGGATGAGGTTTCTGAAACAGAGGCGGTTATTGGGGTTCGAATTGAGGCTGTATCTGCCCTGCAGAAGCGCCAAAGCTCAGGTGAAAACTCAGGTGGTTCAGATGGTGCATCAGAGCCGGAATCAGGGGACCTTCAGGAGGAGCTGGACGCCTTGCTGGAGACGAGACGCGCTCTGATTGGTCGAAAGGTAGCTGTCGCCAGGGGGAGAGCGGAGCTGGGACCAGTGGGGGAGCAGCAGGCACTGTAGGTGGGTCAGTAATAGGTGGGGCAGGAATAGGAGGAGCAGCAACAGGAGAGGGCTTGCAACAGCCGTTAATGTTTCTGGGAGCACCATGAGGTGGGGACACCGAGGGAGGAGGGAAAAAGAGGGAGGTGGAGAGGTGATGTGAAAGTGGAGAATGCGCAGCTGGTTGCAGCCAATGGGGCAAGAAAAATCGACTAGGGGCGCGGGACGCGGTGGGGAGTAGCAGGAGCTGAAGGTGGGGCAGAAGCAGGGGGAAGAGCAGGAGCATACCGAGGATTTTGGGGGAGGAAAGGGGGACCAGTAGCACGCTGCGAGAGGGTAGCAGAAGGTAGCTTTCCCTTTTCTAGTGTCCTAGAATCTGAAGCAAACATGTTTGAAGCATGAAAGGTTTGTTTGTGATGCCGTAGCACATTATAGCATTGACAAATAACACAAGACGGCATTACAACATACCGTACATGATCTAGCAGCAACATTTTTAAATATGGTAATCTAACCACCCAAAAATTAATGAATAAAGTAGATTATTTGCTGGAGGTGGGCAAATCTGCAGCATTGAGGGCTCGAGCTCCTGCTGCCACTGCTTCCTTCAGCTGCGGCCAATCAGCAGCAAGGAAGCTCAAAAGCGACCCAGAACCTTCCTCCACACCCAAACCCTCCTGCTGCATCTGCTCTTCCTGCTGCTGCTGCTGCTGCTGCTGCAACAACTGCAGCTGCCGCAACTGCTGTAGCTGCTGCAGTTGCTGCTGAAACTGACCGTTCAGCAAGCAATCCAGATCAGAACCCTTAGCAGCTTCCTCGGCACCAGCAGTCGCCGGCAGCAATGCATCCGCTGCACCGAAACCCGCATTCAGATTCCCGCTGTAATCTGAAGTGAAACCTGCATTGGAACCTGACTGAATATCCCCTGCGAGAATCTGAGCTAGGGCTTCAACTGAAGCATGGCGTACAGCTGGATCAAGCATTTCCTGATCAATCTCCCCTCCCAGCTCCCCTCCGAGATCCCCTAGCATCCCTGCTGCAGTAACGCCAACAGCAGAATCAGCCACTGCGGCTGTAGCAGCTGTAGCAGCGGAATTGGGTACAGGTTCCAGTGGTTGAAAGGGGTGCATGGGCATGTGAGCCGCAAGATTGTCCAGCACTGAGAGATCAATGGTCAGATTTCGCTGCCCCAGAAGGGACATGCCCTGAGCCGTCCAATTGGCTCGCGCCGCCATCCCATCGACGCCAATCGTTGGATCGACGGGCAATGCAGGTGCGCTGTTGGGGAGCGTCGGATCGCTGGAGAGAAAGCGTTTGCGAGGCGAGGTAGAGGAACGACGGAGGGGTGCAGCCTCAGCTGCTGCTGCTGCTGCTGCTGCTGCTCCTGCTGTCCCTGCTGTTCCTGTCCCTGCCCTACTTAACGGCTTGTGCTGCTGGGGAGGATTAGAAAGCAGACTTTCCCGTATGCTCTCCTTTAGGGTTTCCCGGAGGAGTGGCGAGGAGGAGGACCCAGAAGGTGATTGGAGATTCGTCGGAAACACACCGAGCGCAGTGCTGCCCGTGCCGAGCGCAGTGCTGCCCGTGCCGAGCCCCGTGCTGTTCAGACCAGCAAAAGACGGAAAGTTCCTCGCAGCTGCAGCAGCAGCAGCGCCAGTAGCAGCAGAGGCGGAGGCGGGGGCAGAGGCGGGAGCGCCTGCCAGGGCAGCCGAGTCGCCTGACAGGAAACGCGGCATGAGGGGGGAAGCGGAGTGTGGTGAGGGGAAAGGCTGAGCGTTCCCCGCAGGGGAAAAGGGCGGATTCGGATTCGCACTTCCCCCAGCAAAACTCCCCCCACCAAAGGGTGGCGCGAATCCCGCAGCAGCCGCGGCAGCCATGGCAGCAGCGACAGAGGAGGGGGAATCGCCTCCGCCCATGGAGCTCCGCACACTGGAGGGGAAGCGCATGACGCCATGGGGGGAGGGGGAACCGCGGTAACCCGAAATCCCCGCCGTACCTCCGCCAAGGGGGAGAAAGCGCCCCCGGAAAGGTAGTTCTCGCTGCTTCCGCAATAGGCGCCTCCCCCGAAAGCACTTCCCCCGAGTGCGCCCGCTCCTCCGCTTGACGTGCGCCCAAGCAAGGAGTTTCCGAGAAGCGACCCCCCAAAGTTCCCCAGGTTGGCGGCGCTGCTGTATCCGCTTCCGCCCAACAATGCGCTTCCCCTCAACCCGCCGGTTCCGCCAGGCGCTCCGCCAAGCTCCGCGCATGCTATGTTCCCCCCGCCAAAGCGCAGCCGTTTCGCGGCCTGAAAATACTCCAGGTCGTATTCCCCCGTCGCCGGCGCTCCGCCGCCCCATCCGCTGCCGAACGATCCCCCGCATGCCCCCATGGCGGAAGGAACGAGTGGAGTGGGTTGGTCGCGCGGCGATGGGCGGAGAACGGGGGAATCGAGGCTCCCGCTTCGCGGAAACGCTAGGCGCGCAGCTGAAACGGCGGAGGCGGAAGGAGGAGCGATGCCCCCCGCGGCGCCTGGCGGAGGAGATGGGCACGCGGAGCCGGCGGCGCCGCCGCTGGATGCGGTCGCGAGGCGGCGGAGCACGTCCGCAAGCATGCGCACGTTTTCCGCCTTGGCGGAGCTTGCGGAGTTGCCGTCCAAGCTGCTCCGCCGCGAGTGCGCCGCGCTTCCGCAGCCTGCGCTCCCCGACGAAAGCGGAGACGGACTCTCACGGTGCGACATAAAGTTCGCGCCGCCGCCGCCGCCGGGAGCGTACATTGGAGCGTAGAGCGGGACGCCGGCGTAGTAGGGAGAAGGGGAAACTCGGCCGTCGCTCCCGGGTGAGCTGATTGGGGCGTCGCGCGGAGAATCGATCACGCGCGCGGTCTGGTGGAAGGGAAGGGCAACCATGGCGGGAGGACAGCGCGCAGACGGAAATGGCGGGGAGAAAATGACAGATGAGACAACGAACGCTGACTTTGACAACCCGAAAGGGTTTACAAATGTAACCAGAATAGAGGCGCGTTTTGTTTCCTCGCAACATAGTCTTCGCACAAGGACTCCATTCGCCAACCAACCAGGTGAGGGCCGTCGCAAAAAAGAGCAGTACACTTGAACACACAAGTAATGTGCGATTACTTCGAAAATGAAAGCAAACCCTTTATGTGGATAAGAAACTTACCCTATTTTTGATTATTTCCGCGAGAATGGCGGGGTATTTCCGCTTCAGCGTGGAGTTCCAGTGGTTCTTAATCGCGTTGTCCGTGCGACCGGGTAGGCTCTTCGCGATGACGGACCATTTGTTGCCGTGCTCCGCGTGTCCCAATGCAATTATTCGGTCTTCTTCGTCCGTGAACGGGTTTTTATTGACCTGAAGCACGAATCACCAAAACAGGGATTCATATTAGACCTCAGTAAGTGGCGTCGCGAGGATCCCGGTAACGCGGCGGAGGTCGACAACGCGATGCGACGGTATTGATGATAATATAAGCCGCAATACGTATGCGTGTACGAAAACGAAGAAAATACGAGGAGATAAGCGACGCCGACGAAGCGCGATACGTACTTCGGGATTCAGTTGATTGCACCACCGCAGCCGACAACTCTTTCCCGAGCGCCCTTTGAGCCCCTGAGCGATGAGTGACCAATTGCGCGGCCCGTATTTGGCGATTATCTGCATGAGCTGCTCATCCTCTTCGGGACTCCATGGCCCCTTCACGACGTCCGAGTCTTTCTCGCCGCTCTCTTCCTTGTGCTCGTCTTGTTGATGTTCTTGCTGACGTTGTTGTTGCTCGACTTCCGCCATCGCTGCAGTTTGAACTACCAGATTTTTGTACTACAACTAGAGCTCGCGCCACGCCACTCTGCTGAAATATCAAGTTTGTCGGTAATATCGCTGATCTCTCTACTCGCCTCGGCTTGTATCGTGCCCGTCAGCTTTCCTGACCTCGCTTCGATGCCAAAAACTAGCGCTTATCGCCACAAAATTGCCATATAATCGCACTTACGCAATGGCCCAACTATATGCAGTCTAGAAACGGTGTGGGCCTGTGAAAGTGATGTTTGGGTTGGGAAGTGCACCTACTTCTGCTGGCTACCGAACCGACCGACACTATCGGACTGAATGAGAGATTGCTGTCCGGCCCGCGGCCAAATATCACTCCGTGTGGCCTCTGTTCCTGCTCGCTCCTCTCGCCAGTGGCTCAAATCGTTGCCTAGTGCTGTAGGGGTCCTTCTCCCTCCTGTGACCTGTGTCTCACGGAAATCGCGATCGTTCACTGCGGCGGTGTTGCACTGCCAACTGGATCTACGAAATGAACAATGGATATCCAATGCCGAAGGCGGTGAATTTTATGCTCTGTTGCCAAAAGTGCTCACAAATCGCTCCTCCTGAACCAAACACCACACATCCCAGCCTAGAACCCAGGCTTGGCAGCCAAGCCCCTCAAGAACGCGGTTTGGTGCCCCACCGCTGATGCTGGGCTGGTGGTAACCTTGGATCGACCTGTCTTGCCAGCTTGCGAGTGAGGGACGGAGGGTTGGTGGGGCAAGGGTGACGGTGGGGTTCTCTGTGCGATGATGGTGAATTCTGGCGTATTCCATGTGCAAGCTGTCCGCACTGCACGCGTGCATCGACTGTAGAATGCCTAAAAGGGTGTTCGAAGTACAGTCGATGCTCACCTAATTCCGTCGGATTTGCACTTCGGACTTAAAACTTATCCCTCGTGCATTCGAATAGAGACAACGGCCCCTTCTGTACAGTAACATCAGTAAATCGTGGCCGTCGGTCGAACTGCTTATCACGCTGTTAACCGTCCCTTCGTCAGATGTTTTGAAAACGGTACATGGTAATTCATCAACTCCTCCAATTGGGCGTTACAGACCCGTTTTTTGCCATGGCGAATCAGGGCGAGGTGGGCGAAAATCTTTTGCTCAGTCTCCGCCCTTGACAAGGCGAAGGTGGGATTTCTCTAATGGGCATCTACTGTATTATTTTACCTGCTGTGACGGTGTTTGCGAACGAAGCCGTGCCGCCCGTGCTCCATGACGTGGCGGTACAAACAGAGTGGGTTTGGCCCATGACGTGGCGATGGAGATGGACTTCCCTTCACACCTGGATTCATCAGTGGTGCCCTTCCGTCCTACTCTTTTTCCAGTGTTTCCTCCTCCAACAACCCTCCTAATCTCAGGTCTCAGCCAACAAGGCATTTCATGATTGATGGGTTTGGACTTTGAACTCAAAATACACACGGACGAGGAGGGGATGAGCGAGTGGAGACTTGAATCTAGTTCAGTGAGACTACACTACAGTAGTACCGAAATTGCGAAAAGTCAGAGCTTGATGCGAGGCACGTGGAAGAAAATGTGTGCGGGTGGGGATGGTCCTCGACCTGGATCCCTTATCCAAGCGATAGCTGTCCAGCAGCAACCCAAACGAGCTCCAGTCAGCGAACCCTGCCCGTGGAGAGTGTTTGAGGTTGATTGCACAATATATTTCACTTTCGAGACCCGGTAGCGGTCGGTAGCGCCCGGTAGCGCTACCGACCGAGTCAGCACGCTGCCCGTGGGCAGAAAAAAATAAACCCATGGCTTACGGCATGCCATTCGGGAGCCTCAACCCTAAAATTTTAGGGTTGAGGCTCCCTCGGATGGCATGCCCCCGACTGGGGTTTATTTTTTTTCTTGCCCGCGCTGACTCGATTGCACTGCCTGCTGACGCAGGCAGTGCAATATATATTCCAGACAAGAGGCGGCACGCACTTCTTCGTGTGCAATTACAGTAAAAAAAATTCAGATTTCTTGAAACAATCCCATCTACAGTTGTTGCTTTCGGGTCTCTGGCCTGGAAGGATAGACAGCTTGATGAAGTGGATGGTTTGAGCCATCATCGCTACACAAATAATCAGGCCGTACCGACGAATGCTTGACAGCTGGCGCAAGCTGTCATGGACATTTGCGTGAACTGGATGATCACGAGCGTTGACAAGGTGCCAAAGGGGTCTGAGCTTCTCAGGGAACAGCTTGCTCCGATCATGACGCTTGTCCTTCTAGACTTTCGGTTAACGCATAGTAAATGCAAAAGCCGGAACAATAAATTTTCATTTTCAGGAGTGTCTCGGGTGTTTGTTGGGTGCTTCCGTTGTGCGGACTTTGTCACCCTCTTTCGCGCTAGCAGAGCATCTGGTTGTGGAACATGAGCTGGTTGTAGAACGTCACCACGTTCAGAATGGTGCTATCACATACGGTACAAGAACATTTTGTCGCGATAATGATGACAGGGTGTAAAATGCTCAGGTGGCGAATTTGTCAGCAGGGAGCTGGTTTATGGTTGCTTTATTTGTCTCGATTTCATAAGATCTCAGGAAATTTGCTGGCACGAGTCATCACATCACCAAAAAGTGTCGGTCCAAAATGCAGCCGGCCAGTTAGGTGGTCCATTTTGTGTCTTTTGACACCCCGAAAATGTTCAAAAAGAGTCTTCACCCAAAATTGAAGGGCCTAAAAATATCCGAAAAGTAGCCAAATTACGAAGTACCCTGAATTTGTCCAAAAAGACTCTGATTCACGTTATTATGCAGAAGGTCGGGGGATCGATACTTGCCAGGTGCTTTCTACCAAACATAAAGTTGTTTAAGACGTTAAAGAAATGCATACATCCAAACAACACGACTTCTAGTTTACGAGAACGAATCGATCCCGCGACCTCCCAATCGCAAGCGCGACATGTGAACAACTACGCCAAACAGAACGTAAAATTATAAAATAGATGCATACATGTATGCAATCCGACTTCTAGTTCACAACCAGAGCGATCCTGCGACCTCCCAATCGCATGCTCGACATGTGAACCACTACGCTAAACAGGTCGTAAAACTACGAAACAATATTTATTTAATCTCTTGAATTGGCGCATCATAAAAAACTCCCTCGTAACATGTTGCCACCTGTTGCCACCTTTGCCACCTGTCACACCACCTGCCACACAAACGCCCTCCTGTGCAGGTTAGGTTCGGGAAACATTAGCCACGCAATCCCTACACACCACTGCTAACTCATTACTCAACCACTCTCGACTTGTCCATCCCTTTCAGATCTAGATGCTCCATTTTGTAGTCTGAGCTTTTCATTAGGCTATTTTCTGCCTTTTGTGAGATCTGTTTTGCTTAGCCTAGCCCTACGATTTTTGTACTTCCTGTCTAGCTATGAGGATGTTAGACATATAGTTATGTAAATCCTATTTCCACTTTTCTACGCAACAATGTGATGGTTTTCATTGCTGGTTGAGATGTTAGCGGTCGTATGTTTTTTATTCATTGATTTTACCATAATAACGTTACTGTCTGCAATGTCTATCTATCCCCATTGCAGGACTTGACACTGCTACGGCGGGTGCTGCTAAGAGACGCGACGGGAGCAACTTATGTGCGCGACGGGCGCTGCTAATGCGGCTGCTGCTTAGAGGCGCGATTAACAGAGGTGATCACATTGTTTAATTAATTATGAATGTGTTTACGGCAGCTAATCATCGCTTAACTACTGATGTTTTTTTTCCTGTTGTTGGTGAAGATTTCCTTCATTGCGGGGCAATGTTTCATCACGCAGGTCCGTTTGTATGATCTGATGTTGGCAATGTTTGTGGTTACCGCTTTATATGTGCATACAAGTTTCACGTCGATTTCGCTCTATATATAGCAATGTTTCGCTCTGCTAACCCTGTTGCTGGTGAGGGGTCCGATCAAAGGTGGTGCTCTACTTGCTAGATGATTCTGTCGAGAAAGCCAATGTGTCTTGTACTTATTGTTTTTCTTGTGTTCAGACCTGTATCAAATATCGTGTGAATGGAGATGATTGTTTCGATTGTTTGTTGTGAATTCTTCCTACCTTGCAGGACAACTTGTTATCAGTTACCACGGTTTGTACGATTTAGTATGAACAATTTTGTTATCTTTTTTTTTGCACTGGACCTTGTGGCTCATACGTTACTATTTTCCAATTTGTGCAGGAGCAACTTTTCTGTTCAATAATTTACTAATGGGGGTTCGTACCGTATATGTATCTGGAAATGCGTTATTTAGATTCTAGCATTTTGATCAAGTAGAGATGCCTTTGCATGTTTTTCTAATAAATCATGTACACAATGGTTGAGTATTATTTGTATTGGTAGAACGCATTGTAATATACCGAGTACGTGGTGTACACATTTTGCCTTCGCCTTTCGTACTGTCCGAAGGGACTCTTCGCGGACTCTTTGATGGGACCTAAAACAGACTCCGGAATGTAGCAGGCCTTGGTCCAAAAAGTCTCTTTTTCTGCACGTCCGGAATCTGTCCAGAAAGAGTCCTTTCGGACTCTTGGGGACAAACTTGGGACGCTGGAAAATGGAGATGCAGATTTGTGACGGTGGCATACGACTAGTGGAATTGGCGATACAGCTGTCGTGTGCACTGTTCCGTTTCTGCTTGACCTTGACAAGCTTGTGGTTGGTTTGTCGCTTGGTACGGCTTTGCCTGCAAAATCAGTTAGCATCACCGATGCGCTAGCTCCAAGCACTGTGGCTACGAATCGTGCAAGGTGAGAAGGTTGAACAAGAGGGTGTAAAAAGATTGCACATGGCCTCAGGACGCAGCACCTATTTTCATTTTGCCATGATCGATTGTGGGAGGGGATCGATGTGCCACC